TCTCTCTCTCTCTCTCTCTCTCTCTCTCTCTCTCTCTCTCTCTCTCTCTCTCTCTCTCTCTCTCTCTCTCTCTCTCTCTCTCTCTCTCTCTCTCTCTCTCTCTCTCTCTCTCTCTCTCTCTCTCCTTCTACACGCGTTACGACTTATCTCGCTACATTGTGTGTAAAACTTCCACGCAGTTGCGGACTGCAGGACAAATTGCATAACATCAAGAGCCCATTAACCCATTAAGGAGGCTCTTGATAACATTGATCAGACATCACACATGATCAGACAACATCAGACAACAAAATACAGCATCATGCAACATCAGATAATATCACGTAACATCACAAATGATCATACAACATGAGACAACATGAGACAACATCAAACAACATCAGATAGCATCGGATAACATCAGACATAAACAGACAACATATACCAACAAAAGACAGCATCAAACAACATCATACAACATCGGCGCAAACAACACCTAGCGATATTAATCAGGTCTTGGCTCTCAGTCCTCCGCAAATATTAATATATCGCCGCTAGAGTGGCGACGACAAGAGGCCTGCAGCGGCGTGGTCACGTGACTGCCGGGGCGTTTGAACTCGCGTGGGAGGCGACGTAACGTGATGCAGTGCTGCCCTCTATCATCCCCCGCAATTCAGTCTGATCGTGATGACGAGAAAAATGTGATTATTTTTTGCGCAATTGCACACGTACGTGCACCACGGATTGAAAGGAACGTCCTAAAGGCTAAACACTACTCCCTACAACACCAACAACAGGAACGACAACCTCATCATCATCATCATCATCATCATCATTATCATCCCCCCCCCCCACCCACCACCACCACCAACAACAGCACCACCACCACCTATCACCACCACCACCACCACACACACACACACACCACACCAACAACACAACAACAACAACAACAAACAATCAACAAACACCACACCACCACCACCAGCCAGCAGCACCAGGCAGCAGCACCACCCGCAGCACCCGCCACACCACCACCACCACCAGCACCACTACCACACACCCACACCACCACAACAATCAACAACAACAACAACGCAGCTCAGCAGCGAACACAGCAACAACAAAAACAACACTAATAAACAACAAACACACAACAACAGAATCTGAGCAACCGGCATCTAACCCCATATGCCGACGCTGCATGGCCGGACCGCATTCCGCACTTAAGTCCACGCGCGCATTAAATCTCTTGCATAACACCATTGATCATTATTTATTGACGGTAGAGCCCGCGCACGCGCTCTCTACCTCCCCACGCATGCTGTACAAGTAAGTACTGAGAGAAGAGCAGGGGTGGTATAGCAGCACCACACACACACACCGCGCCGCGCGCGCGTCGGTAGGTAGCGATGGCCATCGTCGGATGCGATGTAGTCGTTAGCGACAAATCGGATGCCCTTATCGACTCACACGCAGCTGTAAGCTGCTGCCTGCTGCTGCTCGTGCTGTTACCTGTCTGCTGTGCTGCTGCTGCTGCCGCCATATGCTGCCTGCTCCTGCTTGCTTCTGCTGCTGCTCTGCTGCTGTACTGCTGGGCTACAGCTGCTGGCTGCCTGCTGCTGCTGGCTTGGCTGGCTGCTCGCTACTGTCTGCTGCTCTGCTCTGCCACTGCCTGCTGCTGCTACTGCTGCTGCTGCCTGCTGCCGATGCTTGCTGCTCTCTGCCGCTGCTACTGCCTTACTGCTGCTGCTGCTCTGCTGCCTGCTCTGCTACTGCCTCTGCTACTTTGCTGCCTGCTGCAATGCTGCATGCTGCTGCTGCTGCCGCTGCTGCTGCGCCGCTAACTGTGGAACAACCTTGCCACGATGCAAAACCACCATCCCATCACTGCCCCACCACGCACGCACACTTACCATACGCACACACGCGCACGCACGTACACGAACGCACGCACGCACGCAACCGTCACGCACGTACCACGCACGCTCCAGCCCTCTCTCCACCACCCCTCCACCACTCTCCTCACTCCAGCCCTCTCCCCAACCACCGCTTCCCCACCCCCACTCTTCCTCCACCCCCTCTCTGCAACCACCCTTCCCCCACACACTCTCTACACTCCCAGCACCCTCTCTACAACACCCTTCCCCACACACTCTCTCTCACCCACTCTCTCACTCAGCCCATCCCACACCTTTCCCCACCCACTCTCTCACTCCACCCCTCTCTCAACCACCTTCCCCACCCACTCTCTCAAACCACCCTTCCCCACCACACTCTCTCACTCAGCCCCTCTCTACAACACTTCCACCCACTCTCCTCAAACCACCCTTCCCCACCCACTCTCTCACCACCCCCACCTCTCTACACCACCTTACACCCCACTCTTCTAAACCACCCTTCCCCCACCTACTCTCTCACTCCAGCCCTCTCTACAAACACCCTTCCCAACCACTACGCTCAACATCCCTCCCACCACTCTCTCATCACTTCTTCCCAACCCACTCTCTCACCACCCCCCTCCCCACACACTCTCCACTCAGCCCCTCTCTCCAAACCACCCTCTTCCCACCAACTCTTCCCAAACCACCCTCCCCACCCACTCTCTCACTCCAGGCCCCTTCTAAACACTTTCCACCCACTCTCTCAACCCACCCCTTCCCACCACTCTCTTCCACCACCTTCCCCACCACTCTCTTCCACACCCATTCCCAACCCCACTCTCGCCACTGTCAGCCCCCCTCTTCCACACACACTCTCTCTCTCTCTCTCTTTCTTTCCACACACACACACACACTCTCTTCTCCTCTACTTCCATACACACACATGTTCTCTTTCTCTCTCTACACCTGACGCACGCACACACGCCACAGACACACACACACTCTCTCTCTCTCTCCCTCCCCACCCTCCCTCCCTCACAGACACAAATACGGCCACACTCACCACCTGTGCTTTCTGTCTCTGTCTATGCCTATAAATACTATATCATAAAATAATTCATACATTAATTATTATACTAGATCGCCATTTATAGCCTGCAATCTCAAATATTATCGACTTCAATCCACACGTCATTCCTCTCATGGCCAACCAGACTTATATTCAAAATCTACGACTTACATAGCATATCTACTCGCCCGAAATCCTATTTCGTTCGTCCCGGACACTCACACCACGACGCTAACGCACCTTTTGTAGCAATAATGCATGAAATTCACACCGGTTTATATTAAACACTCGCGCACACCCACGATTAATTCTGCCATTCGGTCGCATTACCACACCATACATCATCCCTCCTGCCCTTCCTACCTAGCCATCCACTCACTTGAGCATAGCTGTAGGTTAGGCAACGCTACACGTACTCCAGCGAGCGCCTCACCTATGCACATGTATTGCACAAGTGACTAGCGCGTTTCGTTATCGACACATTTATTTTATTACCATGGATAAACTTCATCGCTCTGGCTCGTAATTACCTCACTTATCTTCCCCTATTCACCACACGCTCTTGCCTGCCCAACCATTATGCCTAACGTTGAATGTTAGGTACGCAACTAGCATACCCATCTCGCTACTTGGGCAACGGCGCAGTACCTTCGCTCCAGCACAACCTGTGGCAGCAGCGAGGGACTTTAAGTTTAGAGCCTATGTTGAGGCGCTGCATTTATCAAAACACCTGCTGGGGTCTTAATGCAAAACTACGAAAGTAGTGGTGACACAATAAGATAAATTATCGAGCAGTATAAGACGGTATGCTTTGTAAGTAAGTAGATGCCGTGTGTGTGGGGTTGATTATAGTAAACCGGATGATCGACGATACACGAGAGACAATGAGACACAGATATATTTTTATAACCTTTGTAACACACAGAAACCCTGAGTGACTACTCACAAGTGCGTCATATATATACGTTTCCTCACCTATTGGTAACACCACTTCTCACTATACGTTGTTGCAGTATAACCTGGCGTATAAGATAACAGATATTGAGTCCCAACAATAGTACAAATCCACCACTTAGTACTAATGCCTTAACTTCGCACAGGCACGTTCCTTGAAGGAAAACCATCTGTGACCGCGCCTATAACGTGCACCATGTATACGACTTCGTGGCNGAGAGAGAGAGAGAGAGAGAGAGAGAGAGAGAGAGAGAGACACAAAGGGAGAGATAATTGACCTTTTAAACATGACCTGAGTGACCCCACTGAGTCACTGACCTCATTAACAAATTTATGCCCATAAACAAATCATCTGTGCCAACTCCACAGGGGTGAGAACCATCTGTGACCGCACCATGTATAGACTCATGACCATTTCTACCTTGCCAAATTCTTGCAGACACAAAACAACTAAGTTGCGCTAAAAACTGCCCTGTCAAGCTCACCTTTACTTCCCGGAGGTTCATGCATTCGTCCCAGGAGTAGAACTTCCTCTTCATTCTGTTCAAAGTAAAAGAACCATCAAGGCGGTAGAAAAAAACGACGTTACAAGTACGGAAACTTTTGCAAGTAGGTGAGCGAATTGAGTGAGAGAATAGAACGTCAATTCGCTCACCTAACACATTTATGTTTACAACATATGTAGGAACATTCATATCAGAATTGTTTGTGTATTGTACACAGCGAAAATAAAATGCTGAAAGCAATAGGCACACTGTTTACAACTGTAATCAGTTGAAACACTAAAGCTATAGCAATAAGACATGCGTAGAATGCACACAGCACAGATCAGAAAGAAGTCAATAACCAACATGCTTTCAACAGCCTATCAACTATACTTGAATAAAGTCAACTGCCTACAACTATAGTCAACAGTAGTTGATGGACTCTTGATTCTAGTATAAATAAGATAATAACAGCTTTTGTCTGCTATTATCTTACCCTTGATGCTATGTGCATAACATAACAGATCAGTGTCTGGTAGGAAAGAGAAGACTTACAACCTCTAGCCCCCCCCCCCATCCCAATGACCTACGCAGGAGGGTTTGGTTTAATATCGAATTTACACATAAAACGTCAGCTACCAAGAGAAAACATGAGTTTAGACGAAACGTACCTCAAGCTACAACGACCTGCGAGCAATTTAGCTTAATTAAGCTGTTCATTCTACAGTGAGTACGTTCAAAATATGCGCTCAGCATGCTCAAATTGATAATCATACTAAACGTAACTCGGACGTCGATGAAATTGTAAGTGTTTGGCACGATCGCGCTCGTGCGTGTACGTCAGGGAATCTTACTTTTTGATGGCCACTTTTTCTCCAGTGTCCTTTGCCTGCGCCAGCTGAACACTGCCATATGTTCCATCTCCAAGCTGCTTAATTATCTGATAACGTTGCATGCTTGTTATGGTCATCATCTGTCATATATAGCTTACACCGAGTCTACTGGCTTCAGTTATAAGCACAGCAATATCAGCGCCTAGACAGAGGAAACCACAGCAAGATTTGGAATGAGCGTGACTACCATTGTATACAAGAAACCCACCCCCCATAGACTCTAGCTAATGTAAAGCAAAAGCTATATATGTATGCAGCACACATCTAATCGAAATGTAGCGAGCTAACAACAAATATAATGCACAGGAAAATGCACACGCCACAACACGCTAGACCGGTTTGCTTTGCAATTGTTCAAACAAGCATTTTACTACAGATCAATATCATTATTGACATTCCCACGTGTTCTACACTGATTGCATGTTTACACATTATTATAGCATTAACCCAATCTGCAACACATGTATCGAGATATTACGTATGAAACTGGAAATTTTAAAACTTGTTGCCATGACATCGATTTGCGGTGAGTATAAACTAGCGATGCCCTGATAATTCATTAATTTTAAAATATATCATTTCTTAGAAATTGTATATAAAATTTAATAGAAAAACGAATAACAGATCATCAAAATAATAGCCTATTTACAAAAAAAGTATTTGCAACCTAGCTTGTCATATTATAGTCATTAAAATTTAAGACAAAAAGATATAGCAGAAACAACTATTTTCAAGATTTTGTCTGACTGTTTGTTGCTTTTACGTAAATTATAGTTTGCATCATTTGAAATGTGTATGCTTCCAACTGCAATAATATCATCTGATGTATCTCTGTATCTAGTGTACAGGAACATGATTAATCAATTATATTTGATCATCAATCAGTTCAGTGCAATCGATGATCGATTATTATACCTTAACCGACTCCCATTATTACTACAAACAACACACAAACGAAGTACACAATTACTGTTGTTAGATGCAGTCACTTTCAACACTTCTCATACCTTTTGATTGCTACAGACTCGCCCGTATCCAGAGTTCTGCACAATATAACACTGCCAAATGTTCCATCACCTAGATCCTTGATCCGCTGGTATCTACTGTTGATTATTTCTGCTGCAGGAGCCATTATTTCATTAAATCTCATCACACATTGCCTAGTATATGCCAATAGACTACGTCACAGGTTGATAACTGAAAATAATAATAAAACAATTGTCACATACAGGCATACATCTGTGCTTGCTACGTTTGAATCATTTACACCATATACTAAGACGAACCAGTCTGAGAATATGTGAACACAATGTTTTCTTCATAACTCGCCACTTTGTAAATTTTGTCCATTTTGTAAAAACTTAATGCATTTTCCAAACTATTTGGACGAGAAATAGTATACATGTATTCATTGAAACAATCTCTATCATGAAGTACGTATATATACACATAATAATTGACATCAGTGTTAGTTGTACCACAGGCCCTTGGAGGCTCAAGTTTCATATTTCAAGAAGAGTAATAGAGTGCAGCGCTTCGCTCTTTTACTGTTCTTGAAACTTGAAACTTGAGCCTCCAAGGGCCTGTGGTTGTACATAAGCACTAATTAAACTTTCTCAGTACTACTGCACTAGCAGTGCCCTGGCAGTAGAACAAAAAATATTAGGATTGTGTTGTTTCAACTAGTAGTAGTAAGTTGGAAATGTTGGCACCCAACTGGTAGTTAGTAGAACTACTAAGTACCAGTTTGGTGTCAAAATTTCCAACTGAGTAACAGCCACTAATCACTATGGTACACTGACATACAAACACATATGCGCATGCATACACACACGGACACACGCAGTCACGCACGCACGCACAAACACACACACACACACACACACACACACAAATAGACACACGCACACACACATTAGCACCTATTGTCAATAGTAGCTATGTTGACGTTACATGTTGATGTTGTTGTGGCTATCTTGTGGCTAGTTGCAAATCAATATTGTCAATAGTGTCATGCCACTGGCAATGCAATACTCAATAGTTTTGATCATGGTCTAGCCTGCATCGTACTTGTACATGCTGATACGAAATAATACTGAAAGGTAGTACTGCAATCGCAACAAGTACTTGTACATACACGTAAGTAGTTAACATCGTAACGATATCCTGCACTCTACACGGTCCAGTGAAAAAAATACACGGAGGCTCGGGGCGATTTAGCCCCCGAAATGCCAAAAAGAGCCCCGGAAATTTGCATAGAGTTCAATGCAAACCAAATTTTAGAGTGCTATTTTCATGCACGCGAGCTTGAAAAGTAGTCCCCGAAAAATAAATTATATTTTTTTCCCTGACACGGTCAGTGTCAGTGTTCACTGTGACAGTGTACTGAGTCTGTGACTGTGTCTTACTGTAGCGTACACAGGCACTTGGAACGTCTCAATAAAATAAATTCATGGTAAATAAACACGAAATGTACCAGTCTTAATGTTTCTCTACTCTATTTCGCCTATAATAACCTGTAAATGCCGGTCAAATGCTCATCTGCAACACACAAGTACACCGCACGCACGCCATGTGCACAAACAACATGAATAAGAGAGCAGGAAGGAAAGCGTGATCGCGAAATTCGCTCGACAGTCACTTTATTTCACACGATCACAGAACGAAAACACATTCAACAGCTCCCATCTTGGTATCTATGTGTACATAAATGTTCACTTGTTCGAATTATAACTCTGGCCTTTGTTCTTACCTACTCCCGCCAGAGATATCTTGTGAAATCCTGCAGGAAATGTTCTCTCCATGAAAATGTAAAGAGGACGTATCATACGAAAATCCCTAACGGCGCTACTTTCGATCGATCGCTGTAGTCGTGTGTGCGTGACGTCATTCCTGCGCGCATTGTGCTTGGCTTGGCGGGCCTCGAAATGGAGCTCGGAGGCCGGCAGCAGCTCATCCCGACATGCAATGCGCCCCATTACTCGTTTATTAACAGACATCTCGTCCTCTTTACATTTTCACGGAGAGAACATTTCCTGCAGGATTTCACGAGATATCTCTGGCGGGAGTAGGTAAGAACAAAGGCCAGAGTTATAATTCAAACAAGTGAACATTTGTGTACACATAGATACCAAGATGGGAGCTGTTGGATGTGTTTTCGTTCTGTGATCGTGTGAAATGAAGCGAGCGTCAAGCGAATTTCGCGATCACGCTTTCCTACCTGCTCTCTTATTCATGTTGTTTGTGCACATGGCGGGCGTGCGGTGTACTTGTGTGTTGCAGATGAGCATTTGACCGGCATTTACAGGTGATTATAGGCGAAATAGAGTAGAGAAACATTAAGACTTTGGTAGTAAATACATTTCGTGTTTATTTACCATTAGTTTTTTTTATTGAGACGTTCCAAGTGCCTGTGGTAGCGTACTGTCTACTGTCACTGAGTGTGAGTACTCACTCGGTCACTGTAAAATTACGGCCCATTCCTATTTGACAACCCCAGGTTTAAAAACCCTAACCCTAACCTTAACCAAACTCACGACATGGGTGTGTAAACACTACTTGTACCAAAATGTACTTGTAAGTTGTACTAGCAGTAGCAGTAGCATAACCTCCGAACCACAAAATCGAGATTATTCACACTGACAATAAACGTCTCACGTCCTACCACACTCACGTTGCCGTCGCGAAATCACATCTTGACGTGTAAATCTAAACAGTAATTCTGTCGTAGGACGTCGATGAACAACAAAGATTAACGACGAATGAGCAAACTTGCTTGGCAACCTATGTTGTGATGACGTCATATCTGCAGCGCCCTCTCTGGGAAAACATCGACATTTTTGCATGCCGCGGTTTCGATATGGAAATTAGCACTGGAAATATGGAAAAATTATCTGTCTCTGTTCTCTACTCACACTCTTGTCTTTGGGATGCTTGCTTTAATAAGAGTAAAATCTGGCCGACATAACCACCACTAACAGAAAATGCTAAAGTGCCTATCACTGGTTGCGTTACATTTAGCAGTTGTTTCAGAGCCCCGGATGTGTCATGGCCGCGCACAGTCTCGTCTAAATCGTCTGTAAGGATTTCCTTTTATAATGGTTTTCTTATTTCGATTGAATGTTACTGTTAACCAAAACATAGGATAAGCTCTAGCCAATGTTAGCAAGTAATGTAATCGCGACTGAATGTTTTGATAATTGCTCATTGTAAGCGTGTGATGAGTAATGTTGTCGGTGTACCGATCTGTCTGGTCATTGTCACAGCAAAAGCAGTGATCGTTAATTAATTGTAGCTCTCTACACTCTACTGCGTACTGGTAGTATATATACTATAAAGTCTTGCAGCTGCGTGTAAGAATTTTTTTGTGCGAAATTAATATTTGTATCGAATTAGTCAATTAGATTATATGAATGATTACGTTGCAGGTTCGTTTGTAAAATGAGGGGCATATTAGTCTGGCTACTGTTGTTGGTAGCAATAGCTGCCGTGCAATCAGCTAATCACCACGGAGCAGAAATTGAAGACAATGAGTTTGCCGAATTTGAAGAGTTTGATGACGAGGATGACGAATTTCTCGACAAACCCAAAGAGTCAAGAGAAACAACGAAAAGGGAGTCTGTAGAAAAATCAGAAACTGATGATGATGATGAAGAATATGAAGAAGAAGAAGAGGAGGAAGAGGAAGAAGAAGATGATCATGAAGGAGTTGTAGAGGTTTGTTTATACAT